AGTGATCAAGTTTAAACCATTCATATTTTACCCTGACCAGAAAATTTACATACAACTTACTGTTAATCACGTGAACTACAGTGACTCCGCTGTGGTACATGAAGCCACAACACCTTGGGTAGAAAGCGTCAACAGCACTCAATTCACAGCCTGTGTCACTCGAGCTGGTAGGAATGATTACCCCTCAGATAGCTTTGCCACAGTTGACTGGGTCGCTTATCAGGGTGCTCCGTCTGGTGGAGTGGCAGGCGAGAAATGGTTCTCAAGATGGTGGACTGGGACTAGCTGTCAGACGATCATCTTTCCTAAGGTAAGGTTGTTTTAATGCTTCAGTAGTAATTTCTCTCAAAATGCAGAAATGTAAAAAAACTAAAAAATTGGCTTTCAAATCGATTAAAGCTCTTCGCGAGTACGCACAATTGGTTTCTCTTCTCTCAACTGTTGAGAAAAAAATCTGGGGAAGAGAGGGACAAGGGATGCAAGCTCGCTTACTCTTACGCTTCTTTTTAAGATTCACTTGGAAAAGGCTTGAATTTCATTATCTCTTGGTTGCATCCTATCTTGACAGAAAGACCTATCTCTTCTAAATTTAGAGAAAATTTTCTCAGCCACCAACGGTTTTCGCAACAGCTGAGCACCACAGATCACACCTAAAGCACGATGCCACGAGTTTGTGGATCGAAGATGCCACTGCAAATTCCTTTAAGATTTGTCTTCGAGAGCTGCAAAACTTTGCAGGAGTACATGATGATATATCAGTGGTGAGTGTTTATATGCTGATGTTGGTGCGGCATTCCTATTTAAGTTCCTAATTCCATTTTTTGTGTTTTGCACGCGAATTTTTCTTATTGTCTTTCCCATTTTTCAGTCACGTTGATTTAGATTTTTTCGTATAATTTTGCTTTGTTTAATTTCATTTTGTAGAAGCTTCTTTGTAAAATTTAGCACTGGAGTATCAGAGTCCTTGAGATCAACGTCGATTATTTTACTGCGATCAACTCTTAGTTTTCCGTCCTTTTTTGACCACAAAATCATACAATGTTTCAATCACGATCGACCGTAACGTATTAAAGTTAACGTGTGTGTTGAAACCGGACTTAAAGGTAGTTACAGCTAGTGAATACAGTTTGTATCATTCATTACTTTAGAGGGATCGAAATCAAGTTGAGAGGTTAAGCATAACGTTCACGGCAAACAGGAAACGGCACGTGACCACGTGACCATTTCCACGGTATTTTTGGGGATTATATATGATTGAATATTGGGTTATGCAGAATTCTTGCCGCCGCTTTCGTTACCTGAACATTGTTATCTATCTTTGTGCATCCGTTTTGTTGTTTAGAATTGGCTTGCGTTCAAGTCACTTCATAGGCCATTGTTTTCAGAACACAGTGATGTAAACTTTCAGAATAACCTCTCACCATCTGAGATTTATAACTTCGCCTTTTGTAAGGTGAGTTAAACACTGACTGATTTGTAACAGGAAAGATTATTTAACTGTCAATTTTTCATGCTCTTGAGTTCTGTTTGCATTTTGATTTGTGTTTTGGTTCGGGGATATTCAGTCTTTTGAAATGTTTTTATTGCTTTTACAGCTCTTTTAATTGTCACTGTTTTGATCGTAAAGATCATAAATCTTGGATCAAATGGAACGACACAATTTTGTACTGACAAGTTCCTATAATAATGCTTTTTATCTCATTCATAGGAAGTGAATTTCAAGCGGAGCTACAAAAAATCACCAACGGTTTTAGTAACAGCCAAACATTCCACCAAGGGCGGAAATTCAGCCGCAGAATGCAACGGAATCGCGAGCTGGATTGAGGTAATCCACATGGTTGTCATATTCTCTTTTTAAGAAAATCGATCAATCATTTTAAACTGCATTTTATTTCGTCTTTTTCGAAACGAGCCTGGAAGAAAATAAGCTAACGCAATTACGAACAAATTTTGATCAAAAGGATTTTCAGTTGAGGCCGATAACCTTAGACCTGTTTATGAAAGGTTAGATGTAATTCTAACAGTGATTTGTGGAATAGAGGTGGGACACATGTACACTAAACACATAAACGACAGCTACAACTTTATGAAAATATGGTGTCATAACTGGTCTTCAACTGTTTGTAATCTCTTGACTCTGATAAATATGATTAAAAAAAAACATAACTTTCCATCTACAGTTTTCTCACATTTTATCTTGTTTCTTTAAAGTTTATCACCCCTTCTAGATTCTGCATTTGCGTGAAGGAACTGTTCATCCAGCGTTTCGATCCATTGACGGTGTCCTATGCAGTACTGTCAGGTTAGACCATTTTTATGCCTATATAGAAATGGTTATCTTGGCCTCATAGCTGTTTCCAACATATTTTAGGCCTTTTTCAGTCAGAAATACGATCAATTATAGCTCTGATCTAGAAAAACAAGCAAAACGAGCAGCAGCTCTCGCTTGGAGTGACAACCACACGAGTAGTAGAGGTGGTACGACTTTCTTCTCACTCCACGTCGATAAAAAATTTTCACTCGCGGGTGTCTGGAGAATGACGAAAAAGGCTTGATGTTTTTACTGCAGCTGATGGCCAAAGATCAAATTAGATAGAGGTTTAAAGACATTTCCATCATGATTCCCGTTGTCAGAGATGCATGGAAACCAATATACAGCCATTTCACGATGATCATTGATTTGCGCAGGACGGTTGAGAAATGTACATAGGTTTAAATGTAATAAAATAGGCCATTGTAATAACTGTGCAGACTCGAGACACTGGACTGATCTCGATCATAATTAAAACAATAATTCTCACCCTCAACCATTCGTTTTCCCTTTATCTTAATAGATGTTTGCGAGGAGGACTGGGCGTATTTTAGTGGATATTGCTACAGAAAAGTATCTTCCTGTGATTCGTGGACCAATAGTCAGGGTACATGCGCAACCCTGGGAGCTAATCTTCCTAGTATCCACACAGAAGAAGAAAACGTTTATGTTCAAAGTCTTCACGGTGGGGAACATTCTTGGCTGGGGCTCTCTGATGTAAATTCTGAAGGGAAATTTGTGTGGAGCGATGGAACACCATATGACTTCCATTACTGGGCGGAACACCAACCAAACAACTTTCACGAAGAGGACTGTGTTCATACGCTTGGTTTCCTTCAAGATCATCAATACAAATGGAATGATGTTAATTGCAGTGACTGTCACAGATTCACTTGTAAAAAAGGTAAGCCGTAGCTAGATTGAACAGCAAATTAAATCAAGCGACATTGACTAGGAATTCCTAACAATGTTTTGAATCTTTTTACTTCATATCATCTTCTCTTCTATCTGATGAAAATGATAAAACTGACATTCTTTATGCCTCCGAATAAGCAATCATCAGTTGATATTAGCGTCCCACAAGTCAAGTTAACTTTGCCCTACTGCGTCAGATAATGGATCTCTATTAAATTATTTTCAGTGACTCCGAGGAAATAGCATAATGTCATAGAAAAAGAAAGAAAAAGAAAAAAAAGACTCCTTACCAAAAGGAAATTAGATTTTCTTTTCTTTACATATTTTAGATAGAGGTGAGGGTATAAAGAAGGGAAAGAAATGAAACCATCGATATTTTAAAGCAAAATTTCTAGCTGTGGAACTTTGATTTCTCTCTTTTCTTTTTCAGACTACAACGAATGTAACAATTTTGCATTCGATTGTCCAGCAAACGCCACTTGTGTGAACAGTGACGCTTCCTACTCATGTGTATGTCGCACTGGATTCCGTTTGGATGGGAAAAACTGCTCTGGTTTGTGAAAATTAGAATTTTCTGATTAGAGTATAATGGTTGTAAATACAAAATCAACTACGAAATCATAATTACCAAACCATTTCGTTTTGGTTTAAAATTTAAAAATAGAAACCACACATTAAAAAAAAAATCTATTTTCAATGAAACAGATATAGACGAATGCAGCTCAGGGTCATTTTCCTGCCATGCTAAAGCAAAGTGTGTCAATACCTTTGGTTCCTACTCTTGTAGATGTCCAGCAGGATATGGGGGCGATGGAAAGATAAATTGTACCATAGGTAAGAAAGAATTTGTTTCAATGGTCAATTAACTCTCCCTCTCCATCCAAGCAATGGAAAAAAATACTCTCGACTCTTGAACTCTCAAGTTTTCAAGCCGTTGAAATTAATTTTTCTAGATATTCAGAAAATACCGAAAAAGAGAGAAAATGTTTCCTATATTTATGTTTCTCCAATGATAGAAAAAGAGAGTTAGTCCTTCCCCCTCCCAAAAAAGCCTTGTATCTCTCTCCTGAGAGAAATGCTATTCAAGAAAGACCTACTAAATCATGTATATTAACAATAGATTTATGTTAGAAGTATAGTGTTGATAAAGTGATTCATCAGATCCATTTTGAAAGAAAAATCAAAACTAATAAAACGACTGTCAGGCGACAGAAAGACGTAGGAAAAGTAGTACTTGAACTAAGTGGAGCGCAATATTGGTCTTGAAGTCATGCTTGTGATTTCAAGTCATGCTTTTAGATCAATTTGGAATCCACTTAGTTCAGTTACCATTATCAGTAAGCTATAAAAATGCGATAGCAACGCTATTTTCTGCACAAAAAAGGCACTACTTCTTGTATACTAATCAGCAACAGTCGTTTTCAATCCATTTTCAAATTTTTAGGATCAACAGCTAAGAACTGTGCTGAGCTTTACAAATCTGGTAAAACAACCAACGGTGTTTATACAATCGACCCTGATGACTCAGGTGCCTTTGATGTATATTGTGACCAAACGACAGCCGGTGGGGGGTGGACAGTATTCCAAAAGAGACAGGATGGCTCAGTTGATTTCTATCGCGGCTGGACCGATTACAAGAATGGGTTTGGTAACCTGAATGGAGAATTTTGGCTGGGACTGGATAAGATACACCGCCTGACAATAATAAAGAACAAGCTCCGAGTAGATCTGATGGACACCAAAAGCAACACTGCTTACGCCGAGTACGACACGTTTGCAGTTGCTAGCGAGAGGACTAAGTACCAGCTTAGCCTTGGGACCTACTCAGGTTGGTAAATAGTGTTTGTTTTCATTCGTTATTGGTACAGTGTCTGTGCTTATCAGGGATTAAGTGTGATACTAAACTTAAATTGCTAGGCGTGACCATTAGCCACGATTTAAAGTGGAACATGCACACCTCTGAACTAAGTAGAAAATGTACTAAGTAGTATGAACTAAGTAGTATCATACTTAATCAGGGATTAAGTGTGATACTAAACTTGTTTTGATAAATACCTCTTCTATTTCAATGTAGCTTAACATCAAGTATTTCGTCAAAATTGTCCAAAACTAGGGGTGTTAATTACCAAGCAGGAGCTCCGAAATAGGAAAAGTTGTGCTTGAGGTATTACAAGCGATTATCTTTCGAAATGCGGTGTGTACTTAAAAGTGACTAATGGGGACAATTCGACGCCGGAGTAAAACAAAAATTAAACGCTTTTGTGGCATTAAGCTACAAATAAACTTTCATCATGGTTAAAAAAGGTCATTTTACTTGAGTTTGCCTATCACATCCTTTGAATTTTTGAATGGATGGTTCAGATTAATCGTTGCATTGATTCAGCGTTGTTGAGAGAGAAAAAAAACTTGCTATGAAAATGCACTGATACCGTACATACATATACTTTATTTCAACTCGAATTTTCAGAGTAGCTCCACATAAGTAAACGTGAAAATAAGGATGGAAGAGTTCGACCGTGGTCCGCACAACGGCTGATTCTTTTGTCTCGCTCAATCAACCGATCCGGTTCCGTTTTAACACACAAAAAAAATGAAAATGCAATCAATGATAACTCATGATTTGCATTTTGCTTTGCTATACAGTCATCTTATAAACTATTTGTTAATTGATTTTTGGGCGTCTTTTTTCAGGTACTGCAGGAGATTCTCTTGCTCGTCATCGTGGCCATGCTTTTACAACTAAAGATCAAGACAATGACAGCTGGAGGCGTGGTAACTGTGCTGTGGAGTACAAAGGAGCCTGGTGGTACCAGCAATGTCATCATTCTAACCTGAACGGTGTGTATCATAATGGGAGGCACTCGTCATCTGCTGATGGAGTCAACTGGTATCACTGGAGAGGACATAACTACTCCGTCAAGAAAGCTGAGATGAAAATCAGACCAATTTCCTTTTAGCGTATTTAGAACTTTCTGTTTTGTTTCCATTCGAACTTTCTATTCTGTAAAGGAAACAAAAAGAAAAATGATTAAACATGGAGTATTGTTAGAAAAGAGGACGTATGCTTCTTTATTCACCTCACCTAATTAAAAGGACCCGCCTCCCTCCTCCAGTGAAATCGATTCTGTATTGTTAAGCATGCAATAACCTCGAAAATGGTTGTGTCAAATTGTCCAAATTGATTTCTCGAGTGGCCAAGGTCAGTGATTGATTAACGCTGCTAAAAGAGATGATGAATTGATCACCATGAATATCAGCATCGGTAAAGAGTGGCATTGCCTCCTGGCCATGTTGATAATCTGCGGACGAACTAGCTGAATGAACTGTGGTCGAAGAACATTCAGCGACGTAAGTTTTTTTTGTATTTTCCTTTTCTTGGTCCTCGATAAATTGTCTCATTGAATTAATGTCTGCGAACCTTGAAGCCAAGCTTTTAGGGAAACAGGGAACATTCCTGGAAGCATGAAGAGCACTTAGGAAGCTAGAGTTTCTTTCGGCTGCGTCTCGAGAAACTCTTGTGCAGTTCTCTCGTGCTCTCTAAACTTCTCGTGTGCATCTTTAACTCGATAAGCGCCCGCTAAGCATAAACCAATTCTTTCATACTTCGATGATAATCAAATCTGAATGAGCGACCCAGCCGCGTTAGTGAATCAGCATAATAACCTAGTTTATCAGAGCATATCTCACGGGTTTTCAAGTGAACATATAAGAGTTATATCTATATTCCTGCGATTAAGCTCGAACAAAAATTATAAGGAAATTTCCAAATGATTAGCGAAAGGATGATTTACGTAAAAAGCTTTAATTCCAATTGAGAGAGCTGAAAGTTTCCAATGAACAGTCACCGTTCGTATTAAAAACTAGCTAGAGGATGATCAAAACGTGCAAAATTTAACTGTCACCGGACGAAGTTTAATTTATTCGAACCATGTCTGGCAATCGAACTGAACTAACAAAAAAAACTAAATAGATATAAAGAAAATGGTTATGACCGTTAAATGATAGTTTTGAGTGGCAAATATAATGAAATCAATATTAAATGAAACACATGTGATCGATCGTCATCATTGTTTATACAAGTATCTGTAATTTGTCGAAGACCCCTGCAAGTGACTGTAAACTTGTTTTGTCAAAAAGTGGTTCTCTTTAGACGTGGTTTAAAACATCGCGTCACATATTATTATTTTTTTACAAATATGTGCGTTATCATGATTTATTATATAGGACCTGTCGAATTAATTTGATGGCCTGCTCCCAGTTGGCTTGTTAGCTCAATTGGTAGAGCGCTGCACTAGTATCGCAGAGGTCAGTGGTTCGAATCCCGTACAGGCCTGAATTTTTTTCAGGTCTGATTTTCACTATTGCTTAAATAGTGCTTTACTGCGAAGAATCGTGCACATATACATATATAGATACTGATGAAATACCAGGATTTCTGCTTTTACAAAAAAATCATTATATCTTCACCGCGCGCAGTGAAGATACTATTTTTATCTTTCACGTGTGAGGATATTGGTGTGGCCATGGTTACCAACATAATTACCCAATTGCTCTTTCAAAAATGAATAAAAAAAGTTGTCTTTTCTTTGGAAATTTCATCTGTATCTATAAAAATAAAGAGAACATTACATGGCCGCTTGGGATACGAATTTTATCTCCTCGTGCTGAAAGTATCTCTCACGAGTGAGCGCAGCTCATTCGTGAGAGATTCTTTCAGCACTCGAAGATAAAATTCGTATCCCCGCGCGGCCATGTAATATCCTATTTACCAGGCAGGAGGTCCATAATTGGGAGAACTCTACTCGTGATATTTAAACTCGTTCGACAGAGTATCTAAATAAATGAATTTGAACAATTCGATGAATGAAACCCAGAAATTACGCCCAGTTGCTGTGCCAACCTACAAATAGACTTTTCCAGCTTAAAAAAGTGCCCATTTCATTTGAATTTACTTACAATGTCGTTTGCGACTTACCTAATTTACTAACAACAAAAAAATTCGCATGTGGAAATGATAAGAGTCAAATAAATGAGAATCAGTTAATATACTAGTTCCCCTACGAAATCAGCCGATCCAAAAAAAGGAGTTAGGATTCAAGCCCGCTGCGATGCTTAAAACAAATCTAGAATGATAATGCTGAATTTGCATTTCCCAGTGCAACGCAGACATCTTCCGAATATTTTATTTCCTTTTTGGGGGACGTTTTTCAGGAAGTGCTGGTTATTCGCTTTCTCATCATGGTGGCTATCCCTTCACAACCAAAGATCAGGACAATGACGTCTGGTACGGTAACTGTGCTGTGTCCTACAAAGGAGCCTGGTGGTATACCAACTGTCATGGCTCCAACCTAAACGGCGCTTATCATCATGGGGCGCATTCATCTTATGCTGATGGAGTCAACTGGGGTCAATGGAAAGGACATCATTATTCCCTCAAGAGAGCTGCGATGAAGATTAGACCAGTTCAGTTTTAGAGCTTTTTGATTTTTCCCCAAAAATTTCAAACACCAGTTGACGGGACATATTCCCACAGTATTAAATCTAATGTCTGCTTTAAAAGAAAATGTTTCCGTTGTGTTTTTCGTAGAGAAAAATATAGAACGCAAAGCAGCTAACACAGAAAAATGTCTTAATTCGCATCAGGCGTATTCTGTATTAATTTCCGCAAACTGTTGTAGCTTGATTTTTGTCTACAGTAAATACGATTTAACCATAACATAAAACATCTCTCCGATACGTCCTCAAGTTCTGTAGAATTTCTTAACCAAGAAGAGAATGTATAGCTTATTTTACCGTGTTATCTTACTTCCGTTAGTGTCACGAATAGAATTTCGCCTATTCCATCGGAAAACTACTTTTTCTAGCGAAATCCAATGATGTATATTGGACATACTTGTTGATAGGCCTCAAGGCTAGACTATTAAATGTTGAGAATAGTGTGAAAGTCATTTTTCCTCTACACTATACCAGTTTTGGTTCAGAACTAACAGCTAATAAAACAGTTAATAAAACTGACAGTTTTACGACGGATTCTAACAGTCTTTATTGAAATTATAAAGCTATCAACAGTGTGAAGGTGTGATTTTTTTTTTATCGCTTTAAGAAGATGTGAACAGAGTTATAAACTGAATATCGTTAATCAATGCTCAAAGCGTGCTGTTATACTTTTTGTCTAGTTTTTTCAAAGCGCGATTTATAGCGCGAAAGCAAATTATGGGAGGCGACTGCGCAGTGTTTTGGGCACATGATAAGAAAATAAGATAATCTTCTTAGCGCGAAATTTGGTTGCCCTAAAATTTGGTAGATGAATCTGACAGCGTCAGTGACGTGATTGAATACACGTAATCTGTTGACCGAAAAAAAAAAAAACAAAAAAACAACCACAACAACAAAACCAGCAGAACATGACTATGCAAAAAAAATCCCGCCTCCCACTATCACGCACTGCTGCCAGAAATCAAATGGTTTCCTTGTCAGTTAAATAATGTATTCTGTTGACTTTAAATTGTACGTACAGTCAACTGTCAATTAACAAAATGTATGCCTTCAAATGGCTGACACTTCCAGGAACAAGTTTATGAGGCGCCAAAGCGGACAAAAATGCCGTTTAGCAATTTTTCTTTCCAATTATATAAATATGTTCTAAACTCAAGATTTTTGTCCTCAGTTTACATATTAGATGCTAACTTAGTGAAATATTCATGCTCTTTTTCGCATTTATTTTCTAAACTCTTCAGTTGCATTCTAATTGCAAAGAAAATGCGTTACAAGTAC